ATATAACACAGAGAATGAATTATGTTTTATTTTTATTTTAGATTAATATGTTTTCTGTAAGATAACATTTGACTTACAAGCATGATTGAAGAATACCTTGTATATGTTATATAATAGAGAATAAGAAAATATGTTTTATATATTTTTATATTAAAAATAAATAAATAAAATTCTTAAATTCTATATAAAGTAATTAATAAAATTCTTAAAAAATAAATGCATTACAAAAGCTAAAAATTAAGAAATAAAATGGTTTTAAAATGAATAAAATCTCTTAGATTTTTAAAATAAAATTTCATAATTTAAAATACTTTTTTAACTAAAAATATTTATTTTTTTATTATTTTACAGAATTTATACAGAAGCAAGATATTGCAAACTTTTTACATATAACATAATACTTTTTATGAGCCTGGCTGATGTTCCGTTATCTTTATACATCACCTAAAGAACTATGAAGTATTATTTTTATTAATTTCTCTATATTATGAGAAATTTAAGGAAAGTCCTGCATAGTTATTTAAGATGACATATAAACTAACTATTAACTCTGTACACATAAATATGCATAAAAGATGTTTTGATTAGCTAGAACCATGCGTGACCTCTGACTTATTTGGTATTTCTTATTTATTCATTTCGAATTTATGAAGTTATTGGATTAAATTTTGGCACTGACATCTCATTTTCTTATGAGTTATATCTAATCGTGCCTCTTGACATTCTACCCTATATTCCTTATATTTATATTAGTATATTTGCAAAGAAATTATTAAAAAATGCAATTTATAAATTAAAATTAAATTATTTAATACATTTTATGTATATTAATAACATCTTAAAGGTAATTGTTTTTAATTTAAAGATAACTGGAAATTGCTTCTTCATAGTAACCGTACTAAGATGAATTCCTTATTTTATTGCTTTTCTCCAAAGTTAAAATATAGATTTACTATCTGAAGTAGTAGAAAAATTATGTTAAATGATAATATAAAAACATCTCGATACTAAAACACGATTAAAGACAAACTTCTAGAGGAAAATATGTTTAAAAAAAACGGGATAAGTAGTTTGACATGTAC